CGGACCGACCGACTGAATTTTGCTTGTTTTGACCCTCTCCTTTATGATCACCTCGATATTCTGAATGTGAACACTTTATTTCAGTCCCCACAATGTAAATAACCCCCCTATAATATGAACGTTGATAGCTAGCGCCACCTAGTATTGAGTTAACACTATGCATCCAATTGGTTAATTTTATGATTGGCTAGAAAAAGAGAAAGGGACAATGGACACAATCAATATCATATGTGAATAGAACAATGAATGAATGTTTTTTTTTGTTTTTCAACGATTATTTATTATAAACTGTAACTAGTCGTCATGAACTTCACCATCATTTAACAAATGAGACGAACCAGCTGATAAATTATTATCGATCAATGGAATTACCAATGAAGATGCAAATAGTAATGAAGATCAACAAAATGATGATTTACCAAGTGAAGAACCACCATCATTATCTGAATGTTTACACCTGGTTCGTCGTCTTCGTCTTTTCTCAACAATGCACCAACCAGATTTAAATTCTTTCATCATTCAATTACAATCTAAATTAACTGATGCATTACTTGATTCTAGTTTATCAAAACAAAGATCAATTACAGATTATTTCAAATATTCACCTGTTGAAGTTCATAAAAATCTTATGAAATGAATTTTTTTTGTATTATAAATGGTTAAAAAAAATTATATTAATAAGCTATAACAGTCCATTAAAAATGAACGAATAGATATCATTTACTTCGAAAAATTTGTATATTTTTACAAAACCCCCCTATATGATCACCTTGTTAATCTGAACAATTTCTGAAGGTACCGACAGTGTTCATATTAGAGAGGTTTCACTATATATGAATCTTAATATCTTTTAGTTGTCATTTTTTCTTTTCAACAGAAAGAAAACCTGCATTCCTTGATATTTTGTTATTTTCGTGAGCTTTGTTTTTATCTATAGCAAATATACTTTGAATAAAAGAAAAGCAAAATAGTTTAGGTACCTTGAATGATTAAAGAAAAAAATAGAAGTCTTTAATGCATTGAAACTTACTTGTCTGAATAATGTTATATTTCTAGATTTGTAATAAAATATGGGTTCCAGTAGTTCATGTTCGACAGAACGTCGTAATTTGACAGCAGAAGACATTGTGAGGGAATGTGGTGAAGATAGTAATGTTAAGCATTCACATATTCTTGTAACAGGTGCAACCTCTGGCATTGGTATTGAAACTGCTCGAGTATTAGCACTCGCAGGTGCAAAGGTGTATTTAATGGGTAGAAGTGAAACAAAACTCCAAGAAGTTCTCGACAATATAAATAAAGAGTTACAAGAAAAATCATCGACTGGTTCTGCACAAGGTGTTATTTGTGATTTGAACAGTTTAGCAAACATCAAAGAATTTGCCAAGAAGTTTACAAAAGATCAATCACCGTTAAATATTTTAATACTCAATGCTGGAATTTGTAATCCTAGTTTTGCCAAAACAGTAGACGGAATTGAACAAGTTATGGGTGTTAATCATATTGGTCATGCATATTTAACTCAACTATTAATGCCTACTCTTATAGCTAATTCACCGTCTAGAATTGTTGTACTATCATCAGAATATCACAAGGGTCCACCTATAAACTATGAAGCTTTAGATCGCATGAACAGTACAGCAAAAGATGCGAAGAAAGGTTGGGGTATTGGTAGCAGTTATCAACAGAGCAAATTAGCCAATTTACTTTTTGCTCGTGCACTTGCATCAAGATATAACAATAAAAAGATTACAGCATATTCACTACATCCTGGTGCTATTGATACTAACTTAGCTTCACGTATTCCATTAGCCGGCGTTATTAGCTTAATGTACAGGAAAAAAACGCCTTCACAAGGTGCAGCTACAACAGTATTTTGTGCACTGAAACCTGGTTTAGAAAATGAAACTGGAAAATATTTTGATAATTCTACTGTTACGGATTTAGCAGCAAAATGGACAAATGATGATGTTAATAGACTTTGGGAATGGACGGAAAAGGTTATCAGTGAACGCACTGCTAATCTATAATTCATAAACATTCTTTTGAACAAACATTTATCGGTATTGAATGCTTTCACCTGCTCTAAAATGCTTTTCCTAGCCCATTTACTTAGGGTATACCAAAAGTTCTGATCACAGTTTTTAAAATTTAATAAAGCAATAAATATTGAATATTTTACTAAGGCGATATATAGTATAACGTCTCGTCTTTAATAATATATAGAGCAACTCTCTCTTAGACTTAGTTCTAACATCCTTTCAGACTAAATCTATAATTTTACAGACAATGCAAATATTATTAATTCTTGTTCAATGGTCAGGTACATTCTGGAACTTTCTATTGGTCACTCTCTCGTCACGTTTTATGACGTCATGTTCTAGAATATTACATTTCGATAGTATATATAAATGAGAGGTCGTTCGCTGTTAGTTCATTTGTACCGTACTCGACTTAAAATCGTAATAGAATTTGATCTCAATCTTAAAAGAAGACATTAAACATGACTGATGAATTCAATCGATATTATATCAAAACTCGAGCTATTTTGGGAATAGATTCAAAAACAATCTTTGACGAACTTACAGAGGCATTGGGACCTGATGCTCCATCATATCCAACAGTCAGAAGATGGGCGAAACGTTTTCGTGAAGGAAGAGACGATGCCACTGATGATCCTCGATCTGGTCGTCCGATTTCGGTACTTACAGATGAAAATGTTGAACGCGTTCGACAAGTTATCGAAGATGATCCACACTCAACTTATGATGATATTATGGGTGAGACTGATCTATCACGTGGTACAATAGAACGAATTATTCATGATCGCCTAAAGATGAGAAAAGTTACATCACGTTGGGTTGCTCATCAACTTACTGACGAACAAAAACAAAAACGACTTAGAATTTGTCGTCAAAATTTAGAGAAATTTAGAAATGGAACATGGCATTTATGTGATGTTATTACTGGTGATGAGACATGGATTTATCACAGGCAGATTGGTCGAAAGTGAAGCAATGCTACTTGGGTTGGCGAAAATGAACCACCAAGAACCATTGTTCGTCGGAATAGATTTGAACCTAGAACACTATTTTGCTTCTTCTTCAAATCCACTGGTTCTCTTCTCATACACAAAGTAGATAAGGGCAAGACAATCGATCATGACTACTATATTGATAATTGTCTTATACCTGTTATCAATGAAATAAGAAAAAAGGAAAAGTCATCACGTACTACATATAAAATGCTTCATGATAATGGTCCTCCTCATACTCATCCAGATGTTATTGATTATTTAATGGAGGAAGGAATCGAAATCATTCCACATCCACCATATTCACCAGATCTCGCACCGTGTGACTTTTGGCTAAATGATTATATCAAGAACAAGTTGACGGATCACACAAACGAAGAATCATTAGCTCAAGAGGTTTCCACCATAGTGAAGAATATTCCAATAAACGAGTTTAAAAAGACTTTCGATAAACTGTTAGAAAGAATGAAACTTTGTATCGAAAATAATGGTGATTATTTTGAGCATTTAATACAATAAAATAACGAATGTCTCTTCGTTTCTGTATTGTGGTTTTATGTTGGCATGATCTTTTCTTGGCTATAAATACTATAGATTTAGTCTGAAAGGATGTTAGAACTAAGTCTAAGAGAGAGTTGCTCTATATATTATTAAAGACGAGACGTTATACTATATATTGCCTTAGTAAAATATTCAATATTTATTGCTTTATTAAATTTTAAAAACTGTGATCAGAACTTTTGGTATACCCTAAGTACTTAATAGAAACTTCATTATTAAACAAGATTAAAAAATAAAAACTATTTTACTTTAAGACACAGGTCGAAACTACAATCATATAAATAAAACAATTTGATAAATCTAGAAGATTTAGGGATTGAATTTTTAAAGAAGACAATTAACTTTGTACTCGAGTTGAATTTCAATTTTCAAGACAAAGACTTTGTAACATTGATTCATGTTGTCAATTATTATGCAGCATATCAAAAACCAACCTATTTCATTTCGCAATCTTTCATGTAATATCTTACTCAAATTGTAATAGATTTCACTATGGATTATTCTACTTGAAAATGAATACTATCCTTGTCTTGCATGTTTTCATGAAACAGTATTATCGAAAAGACGAGCATTCGGTATAATGAGCAACTATACCCTATAAAATATTGTTACATGTTTTACTTGGGCATAGTAAGAATACTTGCACATGCCAACTTAATGAACTTTTGTTATCGAATTATCATTTTAGCACGAATGTTTGCCAAAATTAGTGCATGTAAATTACGTCGCCAATGTAAGATTTCTTACTATTGCGTAAAAGTCAGCTTTCATGCGCTGTGAAAGTTCCTATAGTTTAATGTAGTTCACATGCCATTTCATAGTTTTCGCATGCTTGCTTACGTCTATATTTTATGGAGTGTTCCAGGGGTGCAGAATCTACCCGTGTGCGCCGACGGTCGTCGGGGAAATTTTTCAAATTTTTTAGCAGCTGGGGAAATTTTCGAACGTTTAGTAGTGGCATTTGAGAAAAATTTTTGATATTTTCCCTTGCAGGAAAATTTTCGAAATGAGTCTTGGTTTACCTGTATATATTAGTAAAGCCATGTAATGGTCGTTTTTTTTCTTCTCATTAAACTTTCAAAAGAGCCATTATCTATTTTCATAAACACAATTAATATAAGTGTTACTAAAAGGAAAATGGCTGTTATACGATAATCTAATTATACATGTAAAACAATCGATCAATGCCCTTCACAAATTAGTTAACCGCGTCACATTTTCATAAAGTAATTAATTGTTCAATCAGTAGTATCGATTGAATGCTTTTCTGTCTCTGTCTGTGTTCTCAAAAATCAGTTTGAGTACGATATGAACCTACTTCACTTCAAAAAAAGTAATTTGAATAACAATGTATCCAACTAAACAACAGGTGTCATGCTTTTATTGTGAATTGGTCGGACGAAAAGTTACAGCAAAAAACCATTGAAAAAAATATCATCCTGAAGAAAGATTTAAGTTGGGTGTGGGTGTGGGTGTGGGTGTTGGTGTGGGTGTGGGTGTGGGTGTGGGTGTGGGTGTGGGTGTTGGTGTGGGTATGGGTGTGGGTGTGAGT